TGCCACTTCAGAGGAGCATATGCGCCTCCATTGTCAGCATCCATGCCCCTCAATGACTAAATATGATGACGTGAAGAACAAGTTCCACGAAACCGTACGCGCCATCCTAGCCATTGTGCCGAAGACGAGCAAAGCATTATCCATGTCTACCTCAATATCCACGTCAACGCAGATAATGCTCTCCAGGAGACAGTCCGCGCTCGCCTCGCGGTCGACAGTTGCGACACTAATGACTTACTTCTTCTGAGGGCTTCCGTGTAGCACAATCTTTTGTTGGCTAGGAGCATTTCCCGCTCTCCGTTGCAGGAGTAGTCGACGTGGATGCCCCGTCTCTCGCGCCGCTGGTGTCTGATGAAGCACGTTCTAGTTGGGATGCCTGACTAACGTAACGTGCCCGTGACTAAGGCCGTGTGGTACTGAGTGCTGGACGAACCATCACCCTGTCGCCTGTAACACGCGGATCCAAATGCATTAACGCAGGTAACAAAAAAGTAAGTTGACATCAGGTAGATGAAATACTGTATAATTCAATAAACTGAATATCGCCGAAATTTTGGCAATCGCATGAACTTCAATCTGGAAGAAAGGCAAGCTCTGAAAAAACATTGCATTTTCAAAACCAACGGAGAAAACTACGAGATGTCATCCAAGCCACCGCCATGGAAGTCCTCGGCCGTGCACGCTATCAGCACCAAAACTGATCTGTTGACAATGACGAAAAATTCCCAACATTTCCATTTGACAGGCAGAATGCACTCGTCCTACGCCATCAACAGCATCAACTCCAACAAAGCTGCACCCTCTCGATGCCGGTGGCTGGTACAACGGAGGCTGAGGGAAACACAGAAGAAATGGCGGGCTCGCAAAGCTGAGGGGATCCTGGGATATACCGCCCGTGGTGATAGAGAGATTTTTTCGTTGCCATCTAAGCAGTTTACAATCCACAAGTCAAGGGGGCTAAACCACTACGAAACCGGGATCTACCGACCTTCCTAAAGCCGGAGCCACAATTTATCAAGCAGTAGACCGCACCCTTCCAGGACCTCTTCAACCACCGTCGGCAATATGCGAAAATGCAATCAGCCGACTTGCTTATTTGGACACCAGCAATGACCCTGTTTGTTGACCTACTATCTCTGAGTCATTTAAAGCAGGGCAAGAGCTGTCCAGTGGAAAAGCGCCGAAGTAGATGCAATTTGAGTCGGAATCATACAAGTATTGCGGCCCAATACTCATGAGAATTTATCCGATATCACAGAGGATGTGGTGACAAGAACAAATAGCCTGAAATTTGAAGGTCGTTACGACTCTGCAGTTATATGGTAAGCACAGACGTATCTTCTTTTTCAATATTACATGGAAAACCGTTACTCGTTTTCTGCCCAACCGCCTTAACGCATGTGAGGAACGGGGAGTTCTTCCAGAAATACTGTGTGGATTCCGTAAACCACATGGACTATGCTCTGCAGAATATTTACCAGGAAATAAGGACCAACCTTATGACACACCTCATGGGTCTGACGAGGCCCATGTGAACGGCAATGTACTCTTTTGAACCACGCTAGGGTTGAGTGTCCTGAACGATTTATTCAAATGGTGAGACGACTTCACGGAGGGATGATGACTTGCCTCACGGACAAAGGGGGCAATTCCTGCAGCATTCGTGTTATTCGCTTGAGTAAAACTAGACTCCGTACTAACTACCACCTTATTAAGTCTCGCGTTATACTTCATGCCAATGGACGCCTACGTAACCGACGGGAAACTGTCAAATATCCATCGCCTGAATACATCTTCGAGGGTATTCAAAGAAAAACCCTGCGACCCGTTGTTAACAGATGATTGTGCACCAAAAACCATAACGGAAGAGACCATATAGCGGAATGTGAGGCTCTTCGCTTGCGAATTTTCTAGCTTCGGCCTGCCGATTAACGTGGAAACACAGTGGTTGTGCAACAACAAGTGTCAAAAACTGATTTCTCCTGCCAATTTCAATAGAACCCACAGCATAACGATGGAAATATGAGCATACCGTGGAGATGCGATTTCGAGGAATACGAAAACCGACGTCGAACTCCAAATTCAGATCCCCAAAACCAGCTAGGCACTTGGCCAAGGACACTCCGTCTGGAGCATTCGCAGCATCGTGCTGGACACAAAACTGAGGATGTAAAATGCCGTTATCCTGACAGCAGACTTGCATAAGATGGAGACGTGGACTGTTTGTGATGTCCAAGCAAAAATTAAGCCATGTCCAACTTCACTGCCTTTGAGGAATACTGAATGTCAAGTGGCAGACAAAGCTCCCAGACACTGGTGTTCTGGAGTCAGTTGCTTCAGTATCCATGGCATGCTGAGACAGATGAAAGGGCGACGGAGGGATCACGTCCTGAGGATGGTCGACAAGCGCCTGCCCGAACGGTCATTTTACAGCAACATAGCCTTGGTAGGTTGCGGCAGGGTGGACGAAGGCGTCGCTACGAGGACACCATAAAATCTCACTTACCTGCAAATTAAACGTGATCGGAGGACGTGATGAACTGCTGTAATGAATGGAGCAACCACCATCGATGCCAACCGAGTAGCCGCCGTCGAGGCGAAGAGGTAGGAGATCAAGACCCAAACGGTACGCGAAACAGTGACGCCAGCACTCAACTCCTGTCATCGTGTCCACAATTCCAACGGACATTCCGGTCATGTGTTGGTCTAGGTTCGCGTCTACAGACCCAGCGTAATGTCAACGTGATCAAAATACCTCTCATAGCACAATACATCACCAAGATCTCCACTGCTAACAATACTGGTAACGACAGTCCTGCAGCCCTGCAAAACATTGCCACCACCGTCCCCAATCCCCAAAAAATGCGGCATTAGAAGACGAGGATGCGATCACTGGAACAAGAAATTTATTGGCCTGACGTTTCGGATACTCACTCGAATCCATCATCAGAGACATTCGCAGATAAGGGTGATGGTGGCACAGGGAGTGCAGTGGAGGAGGAGGAAAACAGCCAGCTGGCCTTCCTGGGTGTCCTCGTCTGCCGCAAAGGTTGTGGTGGCCTAAAAACCAAAGTGTTCAGGAAAGCGACAAATACGACGCAAATAATGAACTTCGATAGCAACCACCCGATCAGTCACAAACGCAGTTGCGTAAGGGTGCTATACCGGCGCGCTGAGACGCACTGCAGTGAAATGGAAGACAAGGTTGCCGAATTACAATATCTTCGACGGGTAATGAGAGCCAATGGTTACCCACGCAACTTTGTCAACCAGTGCATACGAAAAGGACACCAGAGACAAAATCCAACCGGCCCCAAAAGACCCGCTGCCACGGCAGGAAACGTCTGGAGTCGTTTACCGGATCTGGTGTAGTTACGGACCAAGCAACTAAGTCAGAGAAACTGGGAGATTACTCCGCACGCGAATCGCCGAGCACGCAGCAGCAGTGAGGCGGGAAGACGCGAGCACTCAGGTGGCGGCACACTCGACGGGACTTGGCCACATTTTCAAATTTCAAGAGACCGAAATTCTCGCAAGGGGTGACAACCGTGTGAGTCAAGAGCTGCTCGAGCCATGGTTCTCAGGCCCGCAATCCATCAACAAGGACAGTGACCTCCCGGTACCATATTCCGTGCTGCAATTTTCCCTGGGCAGAGGAATCAGTCACGTGGGGAGGTTGGGAGCGAGCAATTATCACAGTGACAGTGAGCCAATTTGCCGAGCACTCGTCACACCAGCATGCATCACGGATGACGAAATCACGGCAATTAGCAAATCGGACTCTGACTGACAAGCCACCACCGCATCAATTACGACCCCAGCGGTGATTGCGAGAAGTGTTAATTGCAGTGCGCATACGGTCCCACGGCAGCCACGTGCTATAAATACTGCACTCCCTGTGCCACCATCACCTTTATCTGCGAATGTCTCTGATGATGAATTCGAGTGAGAATCCGAAACGTCAGGCCAATAAATTTCTTGTTCCAGTGATCGCATCTTCGTCTTCTGAACTGCTACCTGGAACTCGCCTGTTCGCTTCTATCAGCAATGCGGAATTACTTTGAACTGTCCCATCATGCCTGGGTGGTCACCTCTTACAGATGCCGGCGAACCAGTACCTGCGGTCCCGTCATACAGCTGTCACACACGCCTCATCTTCTTACAATGTCCTCTCCCCGAACATCTGGACAGCGCATTGGTTTAATCCGCAATATGTGTGTGTCCAAGGCCAGCAGAATTCAGCGCATCGTTATCACGATGAACTTACCTCCTACGTCTGAATATCATACTACCAGTACTACCGAATCCACTACTGCCAGGGCGACACCACCAATATGACTGCCATCGCCACCAGCTCGGCAACTGCCTCCTGCCTCAACTGCCGCCGCACACTCGCACCACGCAGCGGCCTGGTAGGGTAGTTGCGAACCCGTCGCACCAATTTCACATGCCAGAACAAGCCCATATCACGTAAGTGGGAGAAATATGCTTTGATGTGTTCCGGTGAGTGAATTTATGAGCTCGTGAAGGACAGGCGTAGACAGGCTGTCTAGCTCTGTCAAGCAACGCGTCCAATTGAACCACCAGTTGATTAACAGGCTCGGACATGTCAGAAGGAAGAAACATTAAGTTTGCTATTGGAAAATTCATCCTTGCGGCATACGAGTCCGTTCCTCACCATAATAAATGTAACATACCCTAAAGGTCGTGGTTTTGTGATTTTTCCAACTGACGGGATGACTCTGCCCACGTGTTTAGTACTGTGTACGTACAAATAAGGCACCTTACTGAAGGACCGAGAGTTAAACCTAATGGATCCTTACCGTAATGCATTTTACGCAACTTCCGCGCATGTGAAATCCCAACTGCCCTCACGAAAGCCCGGCATACCCTGTGGAGACGGGGTTATGTGCGGCACGCGCAGACGGGCCGTTCAACTATGTCTGCTAATGCGCCCATATCCATCGTCGGTAGTCTTAGCTTGTTCATGTTTTCGAATCTTAGTGAGTGAGGGAGGAGGGAGTGCAGTAGATTCTGCGCAAGTCTGTCCCACTACAAATTAATTCGGTCAGCAGCATAGGTGCTTCGCGTAGCACATTGTGGACGCCGGCGCCAGTGACAGTCGGAATGTCAGAGGAGTCGCTGGCGAGGGGTTGTGGCAGTCCGCGATCGCCATCGCCACCAGCCCTTCCGTCCGTCGAACCCTGCCGGTCAAATCGCAGCAGGTACCGCGCGAGACTTAACATTAGCCTCGCGAGTGCTGCACGTCAATCAAGGTCGCTCATTTGCCGCAGTAAGTGACCGATCTCATGAAATGTTGCCCGAAATTCTGAAATGCGTTTTCGATTTGGAAGGATTACTTAGGTGGGGTTGTAATACTGATTGCCATGCGGCATAATGCAGTAATATTTCGGACTCGCCAGGATGTCGGCTTTTGAATGCCCTTCTTTTCGACCACCTGAAAAACCCAAACTCGGTAAAATTGGCTACTTAAGTAGCAGGCATTTTTAGCACTGATTTTCGATGGTTTTATAAATTCAAATATATTGTATAGAAAACACGCACAAAAAAATATGCTTTCTTCTGCCTTTAGGGTAAAAAATCACGTCGACTGTACATTGTATGCTTGGAGACAGGGTATATTTAGGTTTTAAAAACGTTTTCCAATTCTCGAATAATTGTAAGCCCGAGCAGCCGTTGCATTAGCATTTAGCGAGTTCATTCTAGGAGGCGCATGCTTTCTGTGTAAGGAAAATATTTGATTCCTCTATGCCTTTAAGTAGATATTATTTAGATTTCATGAAATTTTGCAACGAGTGCGGACTATGTTGTACATTTCATGAGAAGCAATGGTAAACAGACAGGTGCGATGCTGTATGAATGTACATTGCACGGTCTTAAAAATCCTATAATTAAAATCTACAATTAAAACTTAAATATACCCTGTCTTCAAGCATAAGATGTGAAGTCGACGTTATTTGCCACCCAAAGAGCAGAAGGAAGCATATTTTTGTGCATCTTTTCTATAAAATGTATTTGAATTCATAAAACCATCGAAAATCAGTGCTAAAAATGCCTGCTACTTAAGTAGCCATATTTTTACCGAATTTGGAATTTTCAGGAGGTCAAAAAGAAGCGCATTCAAAAGCCGAGATCTTGGCGAGTCCCAAATATTTCTGAATTATGCCCCATGGTAATCAGTATCACAATCCCGCCTAAATAATCCTTCCTAGTTGAAGACGCATTTCAGAATTTCGGCCAACATTTCATGAGATCGGTCAGTCACTGTAATTGGCTGTGGGCGATCACAGGTCAGACAGAGCAAAGGTGCGCGCATGCGTTGAGGTCAAAAACCCGGATAGTAAAAGGGACGCGCCTTGACAGACAGTTTGTGCAACTGCTTGCTGAGCCTCCTGTAAGCTTTTTCGTATCAGTGAAGCTCGTCCAGCCCAAGCCTTCTTCCTTGACTTGCGATTTGGGAATCTTCATGCTGTTCACCAAAAAACCTTCGGCAGGATGAATAGCATGACGGACGAGACCAAGGGAGACCGAAATGGCCGCTTCTGTCCAATTAGCCGTCGTCAGCCAGTCATATCCAGTCTCGAAGTTCGGAACATCTGAGGCTCGATCTTGCGACCTGGTGGTTAGAAGCCCGACGCGGGGCTCGTCTGGTTGCGATCGGCAATATGCAATGGTAGAGGGGCGCTTACCAATCGTTATACGGAACTCTCTCTCTCGTCGTCGGGATACTATCAAAGGCAATGGAAGGGGACGCTCACCGATCGTTCATACGGAACTCACTCGTTCCGTTTTGCCTTATGGGCTCTCTCTCTCGAGCCCAACCAACAGATGCGCAGCAGCGCGTTATATAGGCGGAATGGCATTACCGACCAAAAGAAAGAGAGCCCCTAAGGCACAACGGAAGGAGTGAGTTACGTATGAACGATTGGTGAGCGTCCCCTACCATTGTATATTCCTGATCAAAAAACCGACAGGGCAACGGGCTCGTGGTTCAGTGGTTAGAGGCGTGGACTTCTAACCAACAGGTCGCGAGTTCGAGCCTCGGGTGTTGCACACTTCGGGGTTGGGTATGACTGCCTGACGACGGCTAATAAGCTAGAAACCCAGTCTCCCTTGCCTTTGTCGGTAATGCCATTCTGACAATAAAAGGCCTTACTAAAGTCGAAGCAAGCAGCATTCGCAGTATCTTTCCCACTGCATTATTGACAAGCTTTGCGTTGTGTAAAATACGTCCGTTACACTAAATCACCCCCTAACAAAGTCATATTGGACATTGGAAGGAAAGAAGTAAATTCCCAAATAACCAGCCAGTTAGTTTTTAACAGTTTTTTTTCTCACTGACTTTCCAAGATACGGAGGTCAGACTGAAATGTCTGTAATTAGTCTCACGTGCATGACTACCTCTTCTGTAAATGGTCGTAATGTGTGCCCTTTTCCGATGCGTGCCAAGAACGCCGGCATCTAAAAAATTCTGGAATAAAAAAGACAATGCCTTAGCAAGATGGTGACTTGGTTAACCAGCTCTTAGGTGACATTGGATGGAGACTCGTTGGGGGTGGGAGAATTACTTTGTGTCAAACAAATTAGTTCCCTAAAAAATCGGCTCTTCGTGAAACAGACTGGTTTTAATAGTTGAAATACACATGCCCTCATAAGTAGTTGCGGTAATATGCATAGTTCTGCAAAAATTCCCATATTACGATTGAAGAGCCAGTTGGCGAACATATGTTTTGAGTACCTCATCATCAGACCGATACATTTACAAGGGTAATGATCATTCTAAATGTGGACAGGATTTAAATGCGTCTCAGGGGTAGGGTTAATCGGACTCCATGTTGCCACGGCGCCCGCATGACGGAGTCAGCGTGTTGACTACGGTGAAGTTGGGGTGGGAGGGGGGAAGGAGAGGGGTTCCGGTTTGATAGTAAGCGTTGTAAGTGCGTGTGAATTCTCTCAGGGCGTCGGGAAGGCGTACTATCACCGCCTGGACTCGGCCAGGGCAGACAGACTGCTTACGTCAGCGTCTTCTGACAACAGAGTGCTGGGTTCGCTAGTCGAATGGCCACTGCTTCGGCTGTGCATAGCACCCGTTTACGCAGGCATTTAGGGTAGTGTGCCGGTGCCCGGTAGATAACCCAGAATGTATGGTCTTCCCAAAATTCACAAACTGGGACCACCATTACGTCTAATCTTGGATATGATAAATTCTCCCTAAATGGCTGGTAGAAAAGTTAAAGCCGCTTTAAAGTTGTCTGTATCCGCGAAGTTTGAAAGACACCTTTGAGTTTGTTGAGGCTATAAAGAACATTAACGAGGACGGACAAACGATGCTCTCGTTAGATGTATCATGGCTGTTCACCAGCGTACCCGTAGTGGAGACAATAGACTTCCTGGGCGACTTCATCAGGGAAACAAACTACCCGATAGGCATGACAATGGAGACTCTAAAAGAAATACTTACGCGATACACGCAGAATGTCCAGTTACTCTACAACAGCCAGTTATACAGGTAAATAGACGGTGTCTCAATGAGTTCACCGCTTGGACCGTTCCTCGCAAATGCCTTTATGGGCAAGGTCGAGCAAACGAGTCTCAAAGATACCTTTAATGACCTTAAATTCTACGGTCGATATGTGGACGATATCTTTTGCCTGACGAGTCATACCACCGACATCAATGGCCTAGTTCAGAAGTTTAAGGGGGCGCACCCCCGGGGCGAATAACGAGATCGCGTTCCTCGATGTCCTTTTTCACAGACAAGAGGATGGCTCCATCCAATGCAAGAGATTCAGAAAGAAAACCTAGACGGGACAATACATTACTTTTAACAGTTTTGTTTCCTTAAATC